GTTCTAAACTAGAAGACTTTCCTTTTCTTTCTAACAAATTTCTGCTCGTCATTTGTAAAAAATTCGGTACGAGTGATCCAATATAAAGTATTGCATATATATGCAATATGTATTAAAAATTAGAAAGTTTAAATAGTGAACTCAGAAATGGGTCTTAGGTATGACATTTAGTAGATAACCTATAAGCAGAACCCTTAATTAGATAATGATTAAAGTTATATATGTGACTAATTGTATTTTTATTAATAAACTATTGTATATAAATATGTAATTATATGTTATTTAATAAAAACATATAGGCAAAATTACCACTTCAAACTAAAAAAACAAATTTTACTAAAAATAATTTATTTTTTTTATTGACCTATTTTATATATATAAATTAATACTTTAATACTATGCATATATAGTACAATCGACCCTCATTAATATCAATCTTGTTAATATTAATCTAAGCTACAAATTAACTTTTTATAAATTTTTATATATTAAAATTTTCTTATATATATCAACTTTAATATAATCTCTCATTAATATCACTATCAACATAATTTAAAACAATTCAAATAGGTTGATATAAACGAGAATAGACTGAAAAGTTTTACAATACATATATAAATAATAACTATGTTTTTTTTTTGTATTTTCATTTTAAAAATGTTGAACCAAAAGATTATTTTTAATAATATTCTTATTATTGTTTGCATCATTTATTATTTCTTAGTCCTTAGATCAAGTTATTCATATTATTATTAAATTTAAAGTTTAACATAAATATTTAATTTGTTACTTTAAAATTGATTATTATAAATGCGTAAAATAAATAAGAGTATTATTTTAAAATTAAAAATATATTAATTGAAAAGTTATTACGTAATAATATCGCATATACTAAACTAGATGACAAACCATTTTGAGCAAACTAAATGAGATTTAGGGCGAAATTGATAAATTTGGCCACCATTTTTCATTTCTTTTTACTTTTACACTTTTCCATTTAATCTAATTTCGGTTTAACTTGTACTATATTACTGTTATGTATGTATGTATGTACAAGTTTTTTGTTTTTTTTTTGATTGGCTAACGCTAATTTTTTAGAGATGAAGATAGAATGAATTTTCTAATTAAGCCTTGTGGCAAATCATTATGCATTCATAGATTTACATTCGGTTATATAATAAAAAGAAATACTACGTACAATATACCTTTTTTTAAACTTTATCCATATCGTATCTTAATGAGTTATCTTTTCATACGTACAACATTAACGTTAAGGTTAAATTCAATTTTTGATTTACTAGTTTATATTTTAAGTAGAATTTATTAAACTATATCTGTATGTATATATGTAAAAATTTGAAATAAAAAGTATTTAGACCACCTGTACGTACATTATATCAAATACGCCTACATGCATTAGTTCAAGATAACGATAAGGCTCAATTTTCGAACTTATTTATTACTATAAATAAAATTCACTGATAAAGTATGTACATCGTATGGGCGCTCACGTTTTTTTGGGGGGGACAACCATGGGCGTTATCCTGAAACTGTTTTTGAAGGAGGATTCCGATGTTTAGAATACTATTATTTAGGGTTTTACGGTATATATATTTTAAAAAATTTTAACGTCACACTGTCATTATGTATTAGGAATTCAAAATCCAAATCAATTAAATAAATAAATATATAGGCCATTAAATTTCACATGGGCATTTGTTACGTTAATTGGATTTATGTAATGTATAATCATGTGACATCTAGAAGATTATTACCAGTTCTTATTTACATGATAAATCATTTTTTTTGCGTTTATTGATACACAAACTTTTTGAATCAGTAAGGCAAAAAATGATTTAAGTACTGGTATGTTATTTGAATTTGCATTCGCCCTATCGGAAAATGTCGGAAGGTGGTTTTCCTAGCAAAGATCAAGATTGATTTTGATAGATGACCAAACAAAAAAAACGATCAGATCAAATCCAATCACAATCAAATCAAAATCGACAAATTTGTATTTTGATTTTTTTTAGAAATCTAATATTTATAAAACAAATATTGTATACGTACCAATAAATTGTATACGTACCAATAATTGGAAACCATATACAGAATTTTCCGCGATTTCTTGGTTTTCTCGTCGACAATCTTGTCGAAATTTATTACTGGCTAGCATTAATATAATGTAGGCTGACAGATTTTTAATTACCGGTATTATGTATGTAATACAAAAAATAATGGAGTAATACTTTACAAAACATATTATGTAATTTCAGTTAGTTGTCAGGTGACATTCATTGTTGATACAAATGTTGGTGATGTCATAATTACGTAGTACATTTTTGTATGTAATATGACGTAATACATACAATGTCTCATAAAAAATTAACCAATCAAAAATCGCACAAAGTTTGAAATCCCATAATTTTTTGAATGCATGATTATAGGTAATATATAAATTAACAAACACCCTTATGAGTGTCGTCTCTTCGGAGCGACACTTATTAAAATTGGAACGATACAGAGAAGATTAGCATGGCCCCTGCACAAGGATGACACGTTCAATCTTGAGTGGATGCGCCTTCGGGTGCAAAATTTTTTTTTAGTCATGGCTATTAATAATAATAACCAGTGTTTAATTACGTAACATTAAAACATAACAAAACTCATACAATATCTGATATTAAATTTTTAATAAATTTAACTAAATACAATGTATACATTTGCAATTATCTATTTATGAAAAACAAATATTTTTAAATGTTTAAGTTTTAATGCAATTTTTTTTATTTTTTTTTGCAATTATATTAAATGTTTCTACACGATACCAATTATAAAGAGGAAATCGAAATTATGAGTTCAACTCACAAATAAAAGGTAGGAAAAAAACAACATTTTAACAAGTGGTTAAACAACGAAACATTTTCCTATACTTCTAACATGCCGATGCTAAAAAAGAATAAAAGAACGAAATGAACAATTGTATGCTAGTCAATTAACTTCGATTAGATAAAGGGCTATATTTAAGAATTAATGATAAAAAAGAATTAATAATGAAGAATAAAAAATTGATGTTAAAGAATTAATAATAAAGAATTGATGATAATAATCAAATTATATATATAAAAAAAAAAATTAGGAAACATACATTTTCCATAGCATATTCTCGGAGCAACGAGATATCACCACCACGAGCAGCTGCAAAGACACGAAGAGTTTCTGGAGATACGTCATGCAATTTATCCTCAGTAATATAGCGTGAAACTTTTTTATGTTTTCCTTTCATCTTATGAAAATATCCGTTAATTCCGATTTTGGTAGGAGGAGTCACATGAGCTTTAGAAACGTGACGAAAGCCAACAGAAGTAGATACGGTCACTTTTTCTCTTTTAATTTCTGGAGTTACATTATATAATTTATCCTCAGTAGTATATCGAGAAACCCTTTTATGTTTTCCTTTCATCTTATGAAAATACCCATTAATTCCGATTTTGGTAGGAGGGGTCACATGAGTTTTTGAAACGTGACGAAAGTCGATAGAAGCAGATACGGTTACTTTTTCTTTTTTTAAAGTCACAAATTTTGAAGCTGGAGAAATCAACATTGAACTTTCATCAGAGATAGAAACTGTAGAACGTTTCTTTTTTAAATCATTGCAAGGTGTTGACTTAATCACAATATCATCGTCGTACTCATCATCAGACGATGCAACATCATCAGATTTTTTTGGTGTAGATCTTACGGGTGTACTTGTAATCACGGTTTTCGAGATATCAACTCGTTTAAAATAATGAGTAATTGGTGATTCAGCCATTCGTTTTAACGGACTAGTAAGTGGACTTTCGCTTTGATCAGACAAAGGTGAATGAGTTAGGGAGGTGTACTTTGATGGTCTAGGAGGTGTATTAGGCATTTTTGGTGTATCTTCTTTATCTTTGCAGTCTCTAAAAAGTTCTAATATAGAAGAGGATTTGGCACGCCTAAACTGACCTAACTCAGGCATTTTAGGTGGTGTGCTTTCATTATCTTTACATTCTCTAAAAAGTTCCAATATGGAAGAAGATTTGGCACGCCTAAATTGACCTAACTGAGACATTTTGGGTGGTGCATTTTCTTTATTTTTGAGGTCTTGGAAAAGCTCCATAGCTCCGAAGGTAAAAGTGGTAAAGGTCAAGCGACCATTTATCTCTTTTTTTTTTTTACGCGACTAAACAACACAGTAACGGTAATCTGAGATTAATTGTGTCACATGATGTGCATCTGTCATGTGATTTAATGTGCTCCCTCAGGGACAGTGAAAAATGTCGATTTGATTTGGCAAAAATATTTACTGATATACAGTACGACCTTTCTAAACTGATATGCATAATAGTTTGGGTTTGTTCGCGCCCAAACTCAAGTCCAAACTAATATATTCTTATAGCTATATATAATATATTTGCAAAATATCAAAAAAATTTTGTTAATTTGATTTTTTATAAAAGTAATTTGTTTTTATGAGGTTTGGGATTTGTCTAGTTTTTGTTAGCAAATATATGCATAATGGTCAGTTTTTGTATTAGTTATTTGTTTTGAAATACTAATAGTTTATTAGTTATATAATTATAAACAAATAAAATTAGTTGGATTTATTTTTTTTTATATTTATAATATATTGCACAGATCTAATTTAAGTTAATTATTTTATTTGTTAAATCAGATATTTAATAAATATTTAATTTTTAAATAGTTATTTTTTTATACAATTATATAGTTAAACACAATAAAATTTTTTAAAAAGATGCTTATAAAGAATATATACTTATATGAAATTTTTTTTTTAAATTAAATTATAGTTTAGTTTAAATATAAATATAATTATATATAATATAATTATATAAGAAATAACTATAGAGGATGGCGATCCTAGTGTAGTGGTTGGGTTGTCATTCTCCAAGTACCAGGTCTAAGGTTCAAATCCCACCTATGACAAAATTTGGAAATTATATCTGTGTTACGATAACTGTCTCCTGTCGATCGGTTGGCCTCATGTGGCTGTTACCCAGGTACACCAGGCCAGGTCCCCCCAGCTTTGGGAGCTCAAGGCATCTATGTGAAGTGTAACGTTACACGTACATAGAGGAATGTTACCGGTGTTGCATAAGA